AGCTCGGCTCTTCTTTAAATACAGATCGTTAGCTGGAAAGCCGCCGATCGCTTAGTGCAGCGTTGCCACTTTTCTTTGACAAAAAATATCCAAAACGGTGTCAAAAAATATCTAAAAAGATCTAAATCTGCGTGGAAAATATCTAGAAAAAAACATCCAAATTGAAAAAGTCAAAAATTACATAGCTTTTGTTATGACTTACCCTACATAATCATGTCCTCACCTTCACTGATGTCTGCCTCACAAGATCCACAGGATAAATTTAGCTTGCATAATGAAGTTGAAGCTTCAGATCCAAAATGACCCTGGCATGCTTTAGCTGTTCAAATTTCTTTATAAGTGGAACAGTAGGCTTATTTCTCTAGTCTCATTAGGCTGAATTTTAATGGCACGATAGCATTTAAGAGGTCAAATTTCATCCTGTTTTTTAGGTTAGATATAATTCCTAGCACTGAAAACTCTTTCTACGTCAGCATTTGAGTGGAGTAGTATCATGGCAGATATGGCACTTTAAAGAGCTTACAGAATGGACTGTTTGATGAGGCATCTTTAAATTATCTCACTTCACTCCAAAACGCTTTAGTTTCTGTTTTGTTTGTCCATTCAGCTAACTTTATTTTGTGTAACTGATACTCTGATTCCGCGACATTATTATCAATAGCCCGTACAAATTTCAAAACTTTACAATATTTAGTTATGTCCTTTATTGGCTGAAGTATGTTGCTCGCAGAAAAAAGTGAAATATTTTTGTAAACATCTAGATTTTCAGGAAGTCTCTGCTTCAATAATGAGATAAGGAAATTTTGACAGCGTTTTCTTAAGTTGTTCTCTTCATTCTCTGTTAACAGTCCTTTTGTTTTTAAATCATCAGTTTTTGATTCGATTTAATATCCAAGGTGTGGCTTAGGAGCCAAATAGCTCTTTATAGTGCAAGTGAGCAAATGAGCTTTAGAAGTTGGCAACACCAGTCTTTTACCGAGTGAAATAGCAAGGTGAGATCATCAAGTAATTTAACTTTATCAACAAGTTTAGATTCGAACAGTTTATTAACTTTTTGCACTTCCATTAGAATAGGTTATAAAAAGAGAATGAATGACAATTTTTTTTCATCACTGTACATTCCATATAGTATTTCAGCTGTGTAGCACTTTTCACTTTGTCTTGTTATTTCAAAGTGTGTCTTCAACTTGAACCATTGCTTCATAATTATTTCAGCAGCTGGTTAAATTGATAACCATCTAGTTTAGCCATCTGACAGAATTTTCGGTGGTGTGGAACCATCATTCAAGGCTGTATATAATGCATTGTATTGCTGTTGTCTGACAAATGATTTGTAAAACCAGTTAAGTGTTTCAGCAATAAGGTATTCAAAATTCCTTGGTAAATATTTAGATGAAACATGTGATAATGCTAGCTGCAATGATATAAGTATTAATGATGGGTTAGCTTCCTTCAACTTGGCATAAACGCTATTGTTTATACAAACTATCACTGAGGCATTATCAGTACCAATTACAGTCAAATTCTTCAAGCCTAACTGTTTGCTAATTAAAAGGTCCTTCAGTTCCTAAACTATACTTTCTACATCACACTTTTCAAATTTAACTAGTCCATGATGTACTCTAGATTGGGGACTTACAAAGGGATGCAAGCCACGATATACTCTAGATTGGGGACTTACAGAGGGATCACTTTGTAAAATCTAAATCTAGAGTATATCATGGCTTGCATCACTTTGTAAGATCTAAATCTAGAGTATATCGTGGCTTGCATCACTTTGTAAGTCCTAAATCTAGAGTATATCGTGGCTTGCATCACATTGTAAGATCTAAATATAGAGTATATCGTGGCTTGCATCCCTTTGTAAGATCTAAATCTAGAGTATATCATGACTTGCATCACTTTGTAAGTCCCCAATCTAGAGTATATCATGGCTTGCATCCCTTTGTAAGTCCTCAATCTAGAGTATATCGTGGCTTGCATCCCTTTGTAAGACCCAAATCTAGAGTATATCCTGGCTTGCATCACTTTGTAAGTTCCCAATTTAGAGTATATCGTAGCTTGCATCACTTTGTAAGTCCTAAAACTAGAGTATATCGTGGCTTGCATCCCTTTGTAAGTCCCTAATCTAGAGTATATCGTAGCTTGCATCACTTTGTAAGATCTACATCTAGAGTATATTGTGGCTTGCATCACTTTGTAAGATCTAAATCTAGAGTATTTCATGGATTGCATCACTTTGTAAGATCTAAGTCTAGAGTATATCGTTGCTTGCATCACTTTGTAAGTCCTAAATCTAAAGTATATCGTGGCCTGCATCACTTTGTAAGATCTAAATCTAGAGTATATCGTGGCTTGCATCACTTTGTAAGATCTAAATCTAGAGTATATCGTGGCTTGCATCACTTTGTAAGTCCCCATTCTAGAGTATATCGTGGCTTGCATCCCTTTGTAAGTCCCTAATCTAGAGTATATCATGGCTTGCATCCCTTTATAAGACCCAAATCTAGAGTATATCATGGCTTGCATCACTTTGTAAGTCCCCAATTTAAAGTATATCGTAGCTTCCATCACTTTGTAAGATCTACATCTAGAGTATATCGTGGCTTGCATCACTTTGTAAGATCTAAATCTAGAGTATATCGTGGCTTGCATCACTTTGTAAGATCTAAATCTAGAGTATATCGTAAGTTGCATCACTTTGTAAGATCTAAATCTAGAGTATATCGTGGGTTGCAAAATTTGTAAGATCTAAATCTAGAATATATCGTGGCTTGCATCACTTTGTCAGACCTGAATTTAGAGTATATCGTGGCTTGCATCACTTTGTAAGAACCAAATCTAAAGTATATCGTGGCTTGCATCACTTTGTAAGACCTAAATCTAAAGTATATCGTGGCTTGCATCACTTTGTAAGATCTAAATCTAAAGTATATCGCAGGACTGCAGTTTCAATTTTGTGAAGCCTGATCTGTGACTGTTTCAGTTACAAAATCTCGGACTGTGCTGTTCTAAAGCCATCGGAAAGCTGCTGTTACTGCCTCTACCTCCATTCACATACTGGATGTAGTGACGTTGTACACGAGGCTGTCTATGTATTCAAGCAGTGTTCAGCAATAAAACGCCATCCACTCTTCTTATCTCTCACTACAAACCCTTCGGTGTATATTTTGATGTCACCTGAGCGTGAATTTTCATTGATCGGCTCTTGCACCGCTGACTCTGTTTCACCAGCTATCAATTCCTGATACCCTGGGTCCATCCACGGTAACTATCGGTCTGTACAAGTCTGTTTTGTTGGGCGGCACTATAACCCATTCTTCACCACAAGCTGTCTTGTCAATAGCAGGAACAGTTTTGCTGGCGACTTCTGCCCGTGGCCTCCAAGAGCCACCTCTTTCCAGCTGTTGTACCTTGCTATCCCTTCAGGCTAGGCCTCATGCAGAAGGTGTTCTTTGTCATTGCGACTTTAAGATATATTTGCGCCACTAAAACCTTGTATCTTTTATATACGGAGGGCAATGCAAGTATGTACCCAATGCACATAACTGGCGTGTCTCGTGTAGACCCCAAAAACTGGGTTTAATATGTATGTGTTCCAACTCCTTTATTTGAGAGCGAGATCACGCTTGCAGATCCAAACCAGACCCCGTCACGAAAAGAATTAGTTGCGGGTAGAATGGAGAAAGCATTATCTGTTTCATGTCCACTGATGCCATCACATTCAAAGCACTGAGTCTTTCCCTATATTTATATCTGCCTCTTCCTCATGGTGTTTGAAAGACAGAATCGTGTCGAACGCAAATCCTCGATGTTTAGTTGATCGTTCTCGCTTTATATCACTACCATTTATTGTGATGTCCGGCAACACACCTCTAACAATTCAATTATTAAAAAAAAAAAAAAAAAAAAAAAATTACCACAATACAATAATTGTCTTTTTATTCGTAATATGTATATTATTATAGATGCATAACATGCTTTGTTGAAAAAATACAACTGCTGTGTGAAAGGTGGGTGTTTGGAAAACCGAATGTAAAAAGGGTCTGCGTGCCTAGTTTGTGAACCGTTGAAAATCAAGTTCGTTCTTTCGATGCATGCTGGCAATTTGGACTAACAGTCAACAGAAAGAAGACAACGGTCATGGTTCAAAGTGTTCACGATGGACCTGCAGTCTACACTGATGGTGAAGACCTGGAGACAGTTGACTACTTTACCTGTCTGGGATCCACAGACTATATACAAACTATCACTAGACCACACGCTCACAATTAAAACAAAACCCCTTGTCTATCAGGCTTGTGTTCTCATCACTCTGCTTTATGGCAATGAAACTTGGTCAACCTTTTTGCATCAGGAGAGACGGCTAAATAGCTTTCACATTCAGTGCCTAAAAAGAATACTTGGCACTAAGTGACAGGACACAATCACAAATACTGAGGTACTGGAAAGAGCAGGTACTACAAGTCTTTTCCATGTTCAGTCTACGAAGGCTCAGGTGGCTGGGTCACACCTAGAGAATGGAGGATGGCAAAGTCCCTAAGGACATCCTTTATGGTGAATTAAAGATGGGTAGAAGATGTGAGGCCGACCTCTACTACAATGTAAAGATGTGTTTAAGCGGGACATGAATGATACAGTTATTGATGTGGACTCGTGGGAGTAAAATGCCATGGACGGTGCTGTGTGGAGAGGGCTCAATAGAAAGGGAATGAGAATAAAGGAAGAAATTATTGCAGAAAGGATGCGAGCTGAGCGTCTGAGAAAACACACACTAAATTCAATTGTTGACAACAACGGTCCTGAAATCCCATGCTATAACTGTGGAAGAATTTTCTTAACGCTGGCGGGTCTTCCTAGTCACACTCGCCATCGCCATGGGCTGTGAGTCCAATGTCCCCTTATAGCACAATACAATACTGTTGTTTTGCAAAGACGGAAAGACATTAACATCGCCCCCACTCATTCAGTTGTATGCACTTGACCATCCACTGTTACAGTCACACAGCGGTCAATGGGCGTGCTCTAGAGCTGAGAGTGGCCGCAAGACTGAACTTGTGCTTTCTGACAACTGGCACCTGTCTTCTGCTGCACCTGGGGTCATGTCTGATTGTCAAGGTCTGGTCTTGACCTACTGACTTGATGGTTTCTAGGTACACTTGCTGGTCTGTGTCTATCGTAGACCTGCTGCTTTGATTGACAGGATCGCCCACGTCTGGTGTCTCCGGGTGTGGACATTCTCCAAACGACGATGAGGACGAAGATGAACTCATAACCTTAGACTCATGTCTAGGACACGTACGTAACGCGGACATAATCTGGAAGTTTTTCAGGAAAGAAACGCCGCCATGGAACTCTCCTGTGGTACTGACAGATCTGCGCAGGGAGTTTGCAGAAGCTCGATACATGGGCTGGTTCCGCTGTTGTTTGTGTGTGAGTATGTCAGAAACCAGGATAGACTTGAACCTCTCCCAACTAACTCTGGTCTTGTACGAGTGCAGGATGGACTCGCTGGATGGGTTCCTGTGTGGGGGAACAACAAACAAGATCTCAGTCAGAATGTGAATTGTTCTTGATGATGATGCTGGAAGACATCAATCAAAGATTTGGGCCTTATCTGAGTGTTTGTAACCAATAACACAATAGCAATACACTCACAGGGAGCAAGTACAGCAGGGATCTACCAGTCGTCAGAAGAAATTATCCTCGTTAACAAGTGTTTCGGCCCACGATTCCTAGACACTTTCGGAGGTGACCCCACCTGAGTTCATGAAGCTCAAGGCTGGTACCCTGCTGCACGAAATTACCGGATGGTGTTTTTCTTTCGGATAGGGACAAGACGACTTGGTGGTTTGCAGAAGGTACTGTGAGATAAGAAGTCGTCGCGGCAGCCTAATTAAAGCAGTCAGCATTTCTGGACGACCGAGCGACAAGCTTACGATTGGTTTACCGGACACATATTGGACTTTTATTAGCAGGTGGCAGAGGATCACTGGCAGACAATTCGGACACGATGGACTTTCAAGGGGTGAGAAACCCTTTTCTACTAGACACCGGACCAGCTCACCGAGGCCCGTCCCCTACGTTGTTGCGTTGCGTCCAAAGCCAATTCGAGGCCCTTTCGGCTGCCTCGCCCAGTTTTTTAAGTGTTCGTTTCCGTTCATTACCGCGCAATCCTAGTTCTTTAACCACATTGTAGAGCGAAGTGGAAACGAGGCCTCTCGCTCCCACTTCGACGGCACAGACCCGTACTGTGTACGCCTCGTTTCTCCTCAGACCGGCTGCTAAGTCACAATATTTCTCGAGCTTATATGTGTGACTCTCGTCCATACGCGACTCATACGGGACGGTCAACTCAATCAGGATGAGCTGCCGTTTCTGCGCAGAGTGGAGAACTATGTCAGGTCGCAGGCCGGTCTTCCGGATCAACTCGCGGTACCTTTCATGGTCCGGCAGATCAACCGCCAGTAACCAGTCCCTCGCAGAGTCTAGCACAGATGGAGCGAATGCGTTTTGGTTGACCTTACCTTTTGGAATCTGTCCAGCCTTGAGGAAATGAATGGGGACGATGCTAGAACTGGCTCTGGCGTTAGCCCTCATTCTAGCCTGGTCAACAACGGCTGCTAACTCTTTTAGCACCTTGTTGTGTCGCCAGGTATATCGGCCTTGACCTAGGGCTTTCCTGCACGCGGACAGGACGTGTTCTAGAGTCTGCTTCGCTTTACTCAACGGGCAAGTCGGATCGTTAGTCGCAGACCATTTAACCATGTTAACACCGGACGGTAATACATCGTACGCCGAACGAACGATAAAGCTCAGTCGCAGCGGGGTCATCCGCCAGATCTCACCCCATGTGAGTATTCTTGGCAATGCGCTCTCCAGGCTGACCCAATGGCCCTGCTGCGACTGATGGGCTGCTTTCGTTGTCCCTCACCATTTGTATTACCATGTCTCGGCGCTCTTTGGCTGAGGCCTATGACCACCAATTGACCTTCCCGTGCCCTAGGCCTCGACGGTCGGTTTGAGTGTATCCCATTATCTCCTTCAATTTTAGTGCATTCTGGGCAGATTCTATCGCATCGAGGACTCCACTTGTGGCCAGTCTTTAGAGCGGGCTGGACAGCGATGACATTTGGGTCTGAAGACTCGCGCAAGAGCATGGCGAGTCTTACTTTGCCAACTTTAAACTCTTCAGTTATTGATTTGAACGGAAGTACCAGCTTAGCCTGCTTGCAATACAGAGCCACGTCGGTCAGACAAGGCGGTGCACCAATCCACTTTCTCAAGGCTGTGTTGATTTTCCTCTCCATGGTTTCCACTGCAGTCATTGTCACCTCGTAGACTAACAGTGGCCATAAGAGCTTTGGAATCAACATGAATAGTATACACCATACCTTGAATTTCCCGATCAGCCTGCATCTCTCGATCACGAGCAGGCCTGTAGCCAGTGACTCGTGTATTCGCCGGACTTCCGCTCTATCAGATAACTTCGAATCGTAAACGCGACCAAGGCTCTTCACCGGTTCCTCCAGAACCGTGGGGATCTTGATCCTTGCCACCATAAAACTGGTTGCCGACACCTTGCCCTTATGGATTGACAGACTCCTCGACTTCTGCGGTTTGAACTGCATTCAGCTCCATTGGACCACCGCGTCCAATCTTTTCAGGATCGTGCGGGCAGACTCCTCGCTGCCCGTTATAATAGTCGTGTGATCCATAAATGCGCGTAGTGGCGGCATCCAGTGGTCCCCAATTTGAAGGCCCTGTCCGTAGCCGGCCGCCCCGTCTAACATGATCTGCATTGCCATGACAAACAGTATGGGTGAGATCGTGACCATGACCGAGAAGAATATCTTACCCTCGACATTCAACAGTGAGATGGGCCTGAATTGCGAAAGACTCTTCGAGTCCTGCTCTTTGCGAATTTAGACCCCATTTGCCTTTGACCACTCTGGACATATGTGATTACGGATCCACGCTTGTCTCAACAAGACGTGAAGCATTTTTAGGATTTTCGGGCAGCGCTTGTAAAAAACGCACGGGACACCGTTCGGACCTGGGAAGGCTTGCCGCTGGCCTTTTTCACAACTTCCTCAACCTCAGACCAAAGGAGAGGTACCATTTTAAATGGTACTTCGGCACCGAAGGCTGTTTGAGGCCGCTAAGGATTTCTGGATTGTCATCGAGAGGCTCTCTTCTCTTTTTGTCAGAGTATATCTTGCGTAGATGTAACTCAAGCTCTTCCTGACTGACAACCAGAGTCCCAGACTTCGGTTGCTCGAATAGACCTCGGGCAAACTGATACGGGTCCCTAAAGAATTTCTCTCGCTCCCTTTTGGTTCTCCGTCTGTTGTTACAGAAACGCTCGGCGCAACAGAGGGCACTGTGTCTGTTCTTCAAATGCAACCAGACTTCATACAGCCCCTCCCGTTCGCTGCCTGTAGCGGCTTTGAACCGTTTTCTGAGGGCATTCTTGTCTGCCCGACACTTCAGAATGTCCCTCTGCCTCCTGCTAGTATTCTGCTTGGCACCCGGCTGTGCCTTCTGCACTGTCCCGAACTCGTGGGAGCAGTGTTCATGTACAACATCACCAAATTTTGTAAGCTTGTCGCCTAGCGACTTCTTGTTTAGATCTTGCTTAAGTACCTCACATAATGTAGCCTCCAACTTACACCACACCACCTTATCCCTCGCAGGTGGAAACCTGATCTTGGAACGCACTTCCTCAGAAATCATCAAAGGTGCTCCTCCGCAGTCGACGTCATGGGCCTCTTCGGGCGAGTAGGGTTCACCCTGCCCGTCGTTCCCTGACGACGGCGTTTACTGCGTGGAGCACCCTCGCATTTCATTCTTCCGGCATGCGTTCTCAGACCATGCAACCCCGTGAAGCTTTTCCCACATGTACAGAGCCAGCCCGGACGTTGGGCGAGTATCTGAGTCCGGGGTCTAGCATAATCGTCACCGAGAGTATCAATTTGATTGGGCCCTTTTCGGAGGGCCCTGGGGGCATATTTCTATGTGGTTGTACGAAATCGGAGGTATTATACTGTGTTAGGGGTGATCAACCCGGTCCACAGTCGACACAATTTATACCAAACCGTGCACCCGTTGTCCCATTTCCGCTGTGCCACCTGGGTGTTACATTTGTCTGTTCTGTGTGTTATCAGGTTGTTACATTTGTCTGTTCTGTGTGTTACCGGGTTGATACATTTGTCTTTTCTGTGTTTTACCAGGTTGTTACATTTGTCTGATCTGTGTATTACAAGGTTATTACATTTGTCTGATCTGTGTGTTACCGGGTTGTTACATTTGTCTGTTCTGTGTGTTAATAGGTTGTTACATTTGTCTGTTCTGTGTGTGACCAGGTTGTTCCATTTGTCTTTTCTGTGTGTTACCAGGTTGTTACATTTGTCTGTTCTGTGTGTTACCAAGTTGTTATATTTGTTTTTTCTGTGTGTTACCGGGTTGTTACATTTGTCTGTTCTGTGTGTTACCAGGTTGTTACATATTTCTGTTTTGTGTGTTACTGGGTTGTTACATTCGCCTGTGTCTCAGCTAGAAATGACTAACTTAGGGGAGACGACACAAAGAAAATGCGGGGGGGGGGGGGGGTGGTCAGTCCTACAAGCTTGTTTACTGGCGTTACCATATTAACATAATAAAGCCAGTAGTTGTGTGCTGAATGATAATTATTTCTTAAACACTGTCCCACTAGAACTGACATAAGTATTTCACTACTAGAAATGACATCAGTATTTAACCACTAGAAATGACATCAGTATTTCACCACTAGAAATGACAACAGTATTTCACCACTAGAAATGACAACAGTATTTCACCACTAGAACTGACATCAGTATTTCACCACTAGAAATGACATCAGTATTTCACTACTAGAACTGTCATCACTATTTCACCACTAGAAATGAGAACAGTATTTCACCACTAGAACTGACATCATTATTTCACTACTAGAAATGACATCAGTATTTTACCACTAGAACTGACATCATTATTTCACCACTATAACTGACATCTGTATTTCACTACTAGAACTGACATCACTATTTCACCACTAGAACTGACATCAATATTTCACATACCAGTCACGTCTCGTCTTACGGTAGGCTGGGCTGAATATTTTGTGACCTAGATGATTTGAGTTTCAAACCTGTACTTTTTGTAGCATGAAAGCGGACAGGTCAAAGTGTTCCACAACAGTTTTCTTTGATCGGTGATCTGCGGAACTGTCCTGGTGACCGCCAAGAATTGTCATCTAATCTGGCAGCGGCGACTGGATTCCAGCATGACATTGCATTGACTGAAAACTGTAGTTTTGTTACATCAGATGTAACAAAAAAAAAAAAAAAAAAAAACAGATTTTTTGGGGGGGTCTGTTTGTAGTTATAAGGTTGGTGGAAAGGATAGGGGTGGGGGGGGGGGGGGGGGGGGGGGGGGGGGGGGGGGGGGGGGGGGGGGGGGGGGGGGCGGGGCGAAAAACAACTTCCCTAACTGTGTCGGTCATCGTGTGAGAAACAGTTTGAGTACACTGGCCTAGATCACCTGGCCTGGCTGACCGGCAATCACAGCCTGGCTGACCGGCAATCACAGCCTGGCTGACCGGCAATCACAGCCTGGTTGACCGGCAATCACAGCCTGGTTGACCGGCAATCACAGCCTGGTTGACCGGCAATCAAATTTGTTTATAACACGGTGACACAGCCAGACTGCTGACCGGTCCATACTGTGGACTGGTCCATACTGCTGACCGCATCATACTGCTGACCGGATCATACTGACCTGTGCTTGCTGGCCAGGGTTCGTGTATTGTCCAGCGCTTGTGGGGAGGCCAAGTCAAAGAAGGCTGCTTTCCGGACTCTGATAATCTTGGCCCCACTGCTGACCAACATCAAAGGGCTGGACCTCGTCTCCTCGGGGTGGTCATTCAGTAGTGACGGCAAATCCTTGAACACATGATGTCAGAGTGGACTAAAGGGTCTGTCTTGCAGGCATGAACGTGTAATAATTATATTATAACTTGAACATCACACATGCCTTAGTGTAGAATGCACTCAACACAGACGCAAACAAGTACTCTCTCTCTCTCTCTCTCTCTCTCTCTCTCTCTCTCTCGCGTTCTCTCTCTCTCTCTCTCTCTCTCTCTCTCGCTCTCTCTGTTCCTCTCTCTCTCTCTCTGTTTCTCTCTCTCTTTGTCTCTGTCTCTCAGTCTTTCTTCGTCTCCTCTAGCTTCCATAATTTCAACACAATGTCTTTCTAGTCTATTGGCTTAAATCAAAGGCACAAAAAAGACAGGCGGCAAACAAATACAATCATAAATTGTTGGCCTGGCATCCGGTATATGGCTCATTTGATCACTAAGATGCACAGCTGACTTTGGTGAATAGACAGACTACACGCCCTGACTCTGCTCTCCTCTCTTTCTTAGACAGACTACACGAACCAACTCTGCCCCCCTCTCTTTCTTAGACAGACTACACGCCCTGACTCTGCTCCCCTCTCTTTCTTAGACAGACTACAAGCCCTGACTCCGCTCCTCTCTCTTTCTTAGACAGACTAGACGTCCTGACTGCTCTCCTCTCTTTCTTAGACACATTACACGTCCTGACTCTGCTCTCCTCTCTTTCTTAGACTACACGTCCTGACTCTGCTCTCCTCTCTTTCTTAGACTACACGTCCTGACTCTGCTCTCCTCTCTTTCTTAGACACATTACACGTCCTGACTCTGCTCTCCTCTCTTTCTTAGACTACACGTCCTGACTCTGCTCTCCTCTCTTTCTTAGACTACACGTCCTGACTCTGCTCTCCTCTCTTTCTTAGACACATTACACGTCCTTACTCTGCTCTCCTCTCTTTCTTAGACTACACGTCCTGACTCTGCTCTCCTCTCTTTCTTAGACTACACGTCCTGACTCTGCTCTCCTCTCTTTCTTAGACACATTACACGTCCTGACTCTGCTCTCCTCTATTTCTTAGACTACACGTCCTGACTCTGCTCTCCTCTCTTTCTTAGACTACACGTCCTGACTCTGCTCTCCTCTCTTTCTTAGACTACACGTCCTGACTCTGCTCTCCTCTCTTGCTTAGACTACACGTCCTGACTCTGCTCTCCTCTCTTTCTTAGACTACACGTCCTGACTCTGCTCCTCTCTCTTTCTTAGACAGACTACACGTCCTGACTCTGCTCTCCTCTCTTTCTTAGACTACACGTCCTGACTCTGCTCTCCTCTCTTTCTTAGACTACACGTCCTGACTCTGCTCCTCTCTCTTTCTTAGACAGACTACACGTCCTGACTCTGCTCTCCTCTCTTTCTTAGACAGACTACACGTCCTGACTCTGCTCTCCTCTCTTTCTTAGACAGACTAAACGCACCAACTCTGCTACCCTCTCTTTCTAAGTAATAATAACAATAATAATAATATTATTAATAATAATAATAATAATAATAATAATATTAATATTAATAGCGCGATTGCGAAAGACTAGACACCTCAATATGAATAGCACAAAGGGAAATATGAAACTTCAAGAACATCAGACAATCCGGTCTGTTATCTTTGCCGTCTTTCATAACGTTTTCGCTGTCATTGTATGAGAATCACCGCGTCTGATGGGGTCACTCGCAGTGTCTCTGTTTTAGCTTATATTGTATGTGAATCACTGTGTCAGATGTCCTCACTCTCAATGTCTCTGTTTTAGCTGTCATGGTAAGGGGATCACTGTGTCTGATGGCGGTACATATCAGATGGCCTCACTCCCAGTGTCTCTGTTTTAGATCTGATTGTGAGGGGATCACTGTGTCAAACGCCACACTCCCATGCAACCCGAATTACCCAGCATCGTACCTACTTGCAAAAAACACCCACTTTCCCCCCAGATATCTGTGCTGACATCATCTACTTTCTTACTTAACTGTCTGATCTGATGGTCTCACCCCCCCCCCCCCCCCCCCCAGATATCAGTGCTGACATCATCTACTTTCTTACTTAACTGTCTCATGGTCTCACACCCCCCCCCCCCCCCCCCCCCCAGATATCAGTGCTGACATCATCTACTTTTTTTACTTAACTGTCTGATGGTGTCACACCCCCCCCCCCCCAGATATCTGTGCTGACATCATCTACTTTCTTACATAACTGTCTGATGGTCTCACACCCCCCCCCCCCCTTCCCAGATATCTGTGCTGACATCATCTACTTTCTTACTTAACTGTCTGATGGTTCCCCCCCCCCCAGATATCTGTGCTGACATCATCTACTTTTTTTACTTAACTGTCTGATGGTGTCACACCCCCCCCCCCCACCACCCACCCCAATTCTCTAATAAAACAAAATATTATTGTAGATAGTAGAATTTAAAAATTCCCTGTTGAGTAATGTCTAATAGTGTGGTGACAGAGTTGAGTAGCATTTACACCGCTGTGAAGGTGTTGAGTAGAATTTACACAGCTGTGAGAGTGTTGAGTAGCATTTACACCGTTGTGAAAGTGTTGAGTAGCATTTACGCCTCTGTGAGAGTGTTGAGTAGCATTTCACCTATGTGAAAGTGTTGAGTAGCATTTACACCTCTGTGAGAGTGTTGAGTAGCATTTACACCGCTGTGAAAGTGTTGAGTAGCATTCACACCGCTGTGAAAGTGTTGAGTAGCATTTACACCGCTGTGAAAGTGTTAAGTAGCATTCACACCGTTGTGAAAGTGTTGAGTAGCATTCACACCGCTGTGAAAGTGTTGAGTAGCATTTACACCGCTGTGAAAGTGTTGAGTAGCATTCACACCGATGTGGGGTGTTGAGTAGCATTTACACCGCTGTGAAAGTGTTGAGTAGCATTTACACCGCTGTGAAAGTGTTGAGTAGCATTTACACCGCTGTGAAAGTGTTGAGTAGCATTTACACCGCTGTGAAAGTGTTGAGTAGCATTTACACCGCTGTGAAAGTGTTGAGTAGCATTTACACCGCTGTGAAAGTGTTGAGTAGCATTTACACCGCTGTGAGAGTGTTGAGTAGCATTTACACCGCTGTGAAAGTGTTGAGTAGCATTTACACCGCTGTGAAAGTGTTGAGTAGCATTTACACCGTTGTGAAAGTGTTGAGTAGCATTTACACCGTTGTGAAAGTGTTGAGTAGCATTCACACCGTTGTGAAAGTGTTGAGTAGCATTCACACCGTTGTGAAAGTGTTGAGTAGCATTTACACCGTTGTGAAAGTGTTGAGTAGCATTCGCACCGCTGTAAGAGTGTTGAGTAGCATCTGCAAGCGTTGTGAGAGTGTGGAGTCAGTCTATTTTTGTTTCAATAATACTGAGTCCACCATATTGTGACAAAATAGGGAATAGTTTCTAGAAACGCCTGCCCATGTTATTATATTATAATGAAAAAAAATTGTGTGACATCTACTCATATTGTGACAATGTTTAGTAACATCTGTCTATGTTGTGACAATATTAAATAACGATATGTTGCACTAACACTATATGTTGTGATCACGTTGAGTGACGCCCACTTATGCTGTGACCATGTTGCGACAATGAACAACTTACAAATATGTCGCCGGGCTCAAGGACGCCTAGAGTGAGAAGCACCACATTCCTGTCCGTGTCCTGCAAATATCGTCTGACAAAACTGGACAACGTCAGCGTCTCCTGGGAGCTGGGTCTTGCCTTCGTCTGCTCCCCGGCCAGCTGTGGTCCACCCGCCAGCTGTGGTCCACCGGCTAGCTGTGGTCCACCCGCTAGCTGTGGTCCACCCACTAGCTGTGGTCCACCCGCCAGCTGTGGTCCACCCCCCAGCTGTGGTCCACCGGCGAGGTGTGGTCTGTGATGCTGCACGGAGGGAACACTGACTTAGTGTCTGCAGCTGTGGTCACAGAGATAGACAGACTAAGCAAGGACAGACAAGTTTAGCTAAAGACAGACCCAGACTGATACGTAGACCCAGATAGAAAAAAAATGTTTACCAAAATTTAAAAACACTAAAGACATATAATGGTTATAAAGCTAAATAAATACAGACTTAGCTAGATCAAACTAAACAAATATAGACCTGGCAGAATAAAATTACCACACACACACACACACACATACGCAGACAGACAAACACACCTGCAGACATACAACCACACCTGCAGACAGACAAACACACCTGCAGACAGACAAACACACATGCAGTCAGACAAACACACATGCAGACAGACAAACACACACAGACAGACAGACAAACACATACGCAGACAGACAAACACACACACAGACAGACAAACACACACAGACAGACAGACAAACACACACGCAGACAGACAAACACACAGACAGACAAACACACAGACAGACAAACACATACGCAGATAGACAAACACACATGTAGACAGACAAACACACACACGCAGACAGACAAACACACACAGACAGACAAACACACACGTAGACAGACAAACACACACAGACAGACAAACACACACATACAGACAAACACACACGTAGACAGACAAACACACACGCAGACAGACAAACACACACACAGACAGACAAACACACACGCAGACAGACAAACACACACGTAGACAGACAAACACATACGTAGACAGACAAACACACACAGACAGACAAACACACACGCAGACAGACAAACACACACGTAGAACAGACAAACACACACACAGACAGACAAACACACACGCAGACAAACACACACAGACAGACAAACACACGCAGACAGACAAACACACGCAGACAGACAAACACACACAGACAGACAGACAAACACACTCAGACAGACAAACACACACAGATAGACACACACACACAGACAGACAGACACACACAGACATACAAACACACACGCAGACAGACAAACACACACAGACAGACAAACACACACACAGACAAACACACACGCAGACAAACACACACAGACAGACGAACACACACGCAGACAGACAAACACACACGTAGACAGACAAACACACACACAGAGACAGACAAACACACACGTAGACAGACAAACACAAACACAGACAGACAAACACAGACAGACAGACAAACACACACACACAGACAGACAGACAAACACACACAGACAGACAAACACACACAGACAAACACACACAGACATACAAACACACACTTGACTGTTGAAATCTAGACAACATGACTTGTGACATCTAGACAACATGACTTGTGACATCTAGACAACTTGACTGTTGACATCTAGACAACTTGACTGTTGACATCTAGACAACATGACTTGTGACATCTAGACAACTTAACTGTTGACATTAGACAACATGACTTGCTACATCTAGACAACTTAACTGTTGACATCTAGACAACTTAACTGTTGACATCTAGACAACATGACTTGTGACATCTAGACAACATGACTGTTGACATCTAGACAGCATGCACTCTCACCATTCTTCCACTTGCCACACTCTCACCATTCTTCCACTTGCCACACTCTCACCATTCTTCCACTTGCCACACTCTCACCATTCTTCCACTTACCACACTCTCACCATTCTTCCACTTCCAGTACACTTACCATTCTTTCACTTGCCACACACTTACCATTCTTCCACTTGCCACACTCTCACCATTCTTCCACTTCCAGTACACTTACCATTCTTCCACTTCCAGTACACTTACCAATCTTTCACTTGCCACACACTTACTATTCTTCCACTTGCCACACACTTACCATTCTTCCACTTGCAACACTCTTACCATTCTTCCACTTGCCACACTCTTACCATTCTTCCACTTCCAGTACACTTACGATTCTTCAACTTCCCGCACTCTTACTATTCTTCAACTTCCCGCACTCTTACTATTCTTCAACTTCCCGCACTCTTACTATTCTTCAACTTCCCGCACTCTTACTATTCTTCCCTGTGCTACACTTACCATTGTTCAGCGTGCCACACTTACCATTGTTCTTCTTCTTCTTGACCTGTTCCTCTCGCCGTCTCCTATTATTAGTTTCTGTTTCTGGCCGCTGTGCTATAGTTTCCTTTGGCAGTATTATATAGAATGGTACCAGATTCGACAAACAAACAGGAAGTTTAACTTAGACTAAACGTATACTATAGTCAGACAAACAAACCAACAAACAGAAAGTCAAATATAGACCAAACAGACACACACTAGAGCTAGACACACGCAGAGAGATACCTGTCCTGTGTGCACGTAATCTAGTCCCAAGGAGAACAATAACTCTTTTCTCACGTCGCTATCGTGCTGTAATTGTTCATGGTCTTGTCGGCCTAGAGAAAATCCATACAACAGACATATCAAACACAGACTTGATTGAGTAGGTAGGCAAGTTGTACCCCACCAGGACATTACACACGCGATAAGCACCTGGTGACACAAAGTGTCACAATGTGGATGAGGATCACCATTGGAGTGGTCCGGGAAACTGTTGAGCCGTTAAGCCATATTTATGGCCCGGCTATATTTATGGCCCGGCTATATTTATGGCCCGGCTATATCTATGGCCCGGCTATATTTATGGCCCGGCTATATTTATGGACCCCACCCATAGTCGAGGTGGGGCTTCAAAATAAAGATAAAAATTGCATCCCACAAGGAGAGGACTTGAATTATACTATTTGACGTAAGACCACAGAAACACAATCATATCATACACAGACCTGGTACAAAACCACAGAAACACAATCATATCATACACAGACCTGGTACAAAACCACAATCATATCATACACAGACCTGGTACAAAACCACAGAAACACAATCATATCATACACAGACCTGGTACAAAACCACAGAAACACAATCATATCATACACAGACCTGGTACAAAACCACAGAAACACAATCATATCATACACAGACCTGGTACAAAACCACAGAAACACAATCATATCATACACAGACCTGGTAGAAAACCACAGAAACACAATCATATCATTCACAGACCTGGTACAAAACCACAGAAACACAATCATATCATACACAGACCTGGTACAAAACCACAGAAACACAATCATATCATACACAGACCTGGTACAAAACCACGTGCATATCGTACAAAGACACGGTGTAAAACAACACAAACGTAAACATACTACACAAAGACCCGGTGTAAAACCACAGGAGCACAAACATACTACACAAAGACCCGGTCTAAAACCACAGGAGCACAAACATACTACACAAAGACCCGGTGTAAAACCACAGGAGCACAAACATACTACACAAAGACCCGGTGTAAAACCACAGGAGCACAAACATATCACACAAAGACCTGGCGTGAAACCACAAAAACACAAACATCAAGACACCCAGCTGCCCGCTTGCTTCGTCTTGAAACTTGTAAACAGTTTTCCAATTACTGAACTCATTGCCTCAACATGGACGTGGGGAATTGCTGTTTAGATGTGTGGGGCACGGCAGGTAAACAAAGGGAACTAAACAAGTCTAACTTGCGCAGGTTGTCCGCCCCCTGCCTCCCTGGATCGGTTGTGTCTGTGATTGGTTGATTACTGCCATGTGATTAGATTCCCGCATCTACAATTGGTTCTTTATAAACAACAGGGCAGGTGTTACTCTTGGCCTCGCTGGCTTTCTTCTCTAATTTAACACATTGTTACATTGAGAGTCTAGTTTGTTACAAGCCAGTCTGTTACACTAAAAGTCCAAATTTACTCTATACTGAAAGTCAAACTTTACACGCCGTTACACTAAAAGGCATACCAGTTGAAGTTGTTACACTGAAAGCCCAAATTGTTACAACGAAAGTCCAAGGTGTTACACTGAAAGTCCAAGGTGTTACACTGAAAGTCCACGTTGTTACACTGAAAGTCCAAGTTGTTACACTGAAAGTCCATGTTGTTACAGTGAAAGTCCATGTTTTCACACTGAAAGTCCATGTTGTTACAGTGAAAGTCCAAGGTGTTACAATAAAGAAGAAATAAAAAACTAACTACCTGTAGATGCCAGCAGACCACACTGACTACCTGTAGATGCCAGCAGACCACACTGAACACCTGTAGATGCCAGCAGACCACACTGAACACCTGTAGATGCCAGCAGACCACACTGAACACCTGTAGATGTCAGCAGACCACACTGAACACCTGTAGATGACAGCAGACCACACTGACTACATGTAGATGCCAGCAGACCACACTGAACACCTGTAGATGCCAGCAGACAACACTGAACACCTGTAGATGCCAGCAGACCACACTGACTACCTGTAGATGCCAGGAGACCACACTGACTACCTGTAGATGCCAGCAGACCACACTGACTACCTGTAGATGCCAGCAGACCACACTGACTACCTGTAGATGCCAGCAGACCACACTGACTACCTGTAGATGCCAGCAGACCACACTGAACACCTGTAGATGCCAGCAGACCACACTGAACACCTGTAGATGTCAGCAGACCACACTGAACACCTGTAGATGACAGCAGACCACACTGACTACATGTAGATGCCAGCAGACCACACTGAACACCTGTAGATGCCAGCAGACCACACTGAACACCTGTAGATGTCAGCAGACCACACTGAACACCTGTAGATGACAGCAGACCACACTGACTACATGTAGATGCCAGCAGACCACACTGAACACCTGTAGATGCCAGCAGACCACACTGAACACCTGTAGATGCCAGCAGACAACACTGAACACCTGTAGATGCCAGCAGACCACACTGACTACCTGTAGATGCCAGCAGACCAAACTGACTACCTGTAGATGCCAGCAGACCACACTGACTACCTGTAGATGCCAGCAGACCAAACTGACTACCTGTAGATGCCAGCAGACCACACTGACTACCTGTAGATGCCAGCAGACCACACTGACTACCTGTAGATGCCAGCAGACCACACAGACTACCTGTAGATACCAGCAGACCACACTGAACACCTGTAGATGCCAGCAGACAACACTGACTACCTGTAGATGCCAGCAGACCACACTGACTACCTGTAGATGCCAGCAGACAACATTGACTACCTGCAGATGCCAGCAGACAACACTGACTACCTGCACATGCCAGCAGACCACACTGACTACCTGTAGATGCCAGCAGACCACACTGACTACCTGTAGACGCCAGCAATTGGAGTATTTCCTCAGACAGGATAACATCCGAAGATCTCCTGGTTACTGGCCTCTCGTTGAGCGGTTGGTCCAGGCGCAAACACAGGAGGACGTGACATCTGCCCTGTAGTAGGGAGAGAGGAAGACGTGACATCTGCCCTGTAGTAGGGAGAGAGGAAGACGTGACATCTGCCCTGTAGTAGAGAGAGAGAGAGAGAGAGAGAGAGAGAGAGAGAGAGAGAGAGAGAGAGAGAGAGAGGAAGACGTGACATCTGCCCTGTAGTAGAGAGAGAGAGAGAGAGAGAGAGAGAGAGAGAGAGAGAGAGAGAGAGAGAAAGACGTGACATCTGCCCTGTAGTAGAGAGAGAGAGGAAGACGTGACATCTGCCCTGTAGTAGAGAGAAAGGAAGACGTGACATCTGCCCTGTAGTAGAGAGAGAGTGAGAGAGAGAGGGAGAGAAAGACGTGACATCTGCCCTGTAGTAGAGAGAGAGAGGAAGACGTGACATCTGCCCTGTAGTAGAGAGAAAGGAAGACGTGACATCTGCCCTGTAGTAGAGAGAGAGGGAGAGAGAGAGAGAGAGAGAGAGAGAGAGAGAGAGAGAGAGAGGAAGACGTGACATCTGCCCTGTAGTAGAGAGAGAGAGAGACAGAGAGGGGAAGACGTGACATCTGCCCTGTAGTAGAGAGAGAGAGAGAGAGAGAGAGAGAGAGAGAGAGAGAGAGAGAGAGAGAGAGAGAGAGAGAGAGAGAGGAAGACGTGACATCTGTCCTGTAGTAGAGAGAGAGAGAGGAAGACGTGACATCTGCCCTGTAGTAGAGAGAGAGAGAGAGAGAGAGAGAGAGAGAGAGGAAGACGTGACATCTGCCCTGTAGTAGAGAGAGAGAGGAAGACGTGACATCTGCCCTGTAGTAGAGAGAAAGGAAGACGTGACATCTGCCCTGTAGTAGAGAGAGAGGGAGAGAGAGAGAGAGAGAGAGAGAGAGAGAGAGAGAGAGAGGAAGACGTGACATCTGCCCTGTAGTAGAGAGAGAGAGAGACAGAGAGGGGAAGACGTGACATCTGCCCTGTAGTAGAGAGAGAGAGAGAGAGAGAGAGAGAGAGAGAGAGAGAGAGAGAGAGAGAGAGGAAGACGTGACATCTGCCCTGTAGTAGAGAGAGAGGAAGACGTGACATCTGCCCTGTAGTAGAGAGAGAGAGAGAGAGAGAGAGAGAGAGAGAGAGAGAGAGAGAGAGAGAGAGGGAAGACGTGACATCTGCCCTGTAGTAGAGAGAGAGAGAGAGAGGAAGACGTGACATTTGCCCTGTAGTAGAGAGAGAGGAAGACGTGACATCTGCCCTGTAGTAGAGAGAGGGAGAGAGAGAGAGAGAGAGAGAGAGAGAGAGAGGAAGACGTGACATCTGCCCTGTAGTAGAGAGAGAGAGAGGAAGACGTGACATCTGCCCTGTAGTAAAGAGAAAGGGAGAGAGAGAGAGAGAGAGAGAGAGAGAGAGAGAGAGAGAAGAGAATGTGACATCTGTCTTGTAGTAGAGAGAGGAGAACTTGACATCTGCCCTGTAGTAGAGAGAAGAGAACGTGACATCTGCCCTGTAGTAGACAGAAGAGAACATGACATCTGCCATGTAGTAGAGAGAAGAGACATGACATCTGCCCTGTAGTAGAGAGAAGAGAACATGACATCTGCCCTGTAGTAGAAAGAAGAGAACATGACATCTGCCATGTAGTAGAGAAAAGAGAACATGACATCTGCCCTGTAGTAGAGAGAAGAGAACATGACATCTGCCATGTAGTAGAGAGAAGAGAACATGACATCTGCCCTGTAGTAGAGAGAAGAGAACATGACATCTGCCCTGTAGTAGAGAGAAGAGAACATGACATCTGCCCTGTAGTAGAGAGAAGAGAACATGACATCTGCCATGTAGTAGACAGAAGAGAACATGACATCTGCCCTGTAGTAGAGAGAAGAGAACATGACATCTGCCCTGTAGTAGAGAGAAGAGAACATGACATCTGCCCTGTAGTAGAGAGAGAGAGAGAGAGAGAGAGAGAGAGAGAGAGAGAGAGAGAGAGAGAGAGAGAGAAGAAAATGACATCTGCCCAGTAGTAGAGAGAAAGAGAGAGAACAACATGACATCGGGCCAGTAGTAGAGAAAGGACAATGTGACATCTGCGTGCTGTATAGTTTAATGGTAAAAGGTGTTGTGTTGTTTCACAATACGTAAGTCGTGGTAATCCCTTTTCGATCAGCTGAAGCGGTTAGATGTATGTTTTGTGCGTTAATGTTTAATCTTGTCACCCTGACCCTGCACTCAACAGAAACTCTGACATCTTGGTGAGCTCAAGTGACAAGGTTCAAGAACGACCCCGCAGAGGTGTGGTTTGCGCACCTGGGATTGCCTGTGGTAACAGACTGGAGAACAAGTGATTGTAAAGCTCTCTAGGTCTGTGCTCCAGGTAACAGGTGACTATACAAATGGAAGTCAACTGTCTGTTGTCATATCTGTACTTGCATTAAAGATTGTCATGTGTGTTCTGTGTGCGTTCGGGTTCAGTCTGTGTAAGGTCTAGATTGTCTGTCAGACGCCCACTCACGAGCCAGGGACCATCAAGGTCACCCAGAGGTCTGTGACATAGACAGCACTCGTCAACATACACAGGCGCTCCCACGCACATATGGTTGATCATGGGTCATCAAACACTTAGACACACATACACATATACACATACACATATACACGCACTCACAGGCACAAGAACCTAGGAGCTCAGGGCCACATTACCCATCTTTTGCCGATTGGTCTATAAAATTAAAGTCTAGCCCTATATGCCCCATACGCCTAAAGTCGTGGAAAAGGGTCCTTTCACTATCCGGTCAAGTCCGTGTGGGTCCTATCTTGGCGTGGGCGATCTTGTCTCTCCACAATCTGCGATCTCCTGCAGCATGTATTAGTTCGTGTGCTGACACACCTTCATGCCATGCAACAAGACTGTCAAAAATCTTCTCGCTGTCTTCCTCGATCCCTCCTTCCACAGATCTTTTCAGTGGTCACCACATGTTCCATTCTCCCTCTTATCTTTTTATAATATTGCTAAAAAATGACGACTGTCTCCTTCTGATGTCTGTGATTAGTTGTCTTCGGGCTCCCGCCTCTTTCGAAACCATCGTTGGCTCGGCCGTTCGTTCGATGTAATTTAAACGCACCTTAATATTCTCGTTAGCAATATCTTCAAATGTGATTTGGGCGAAGACACATTGAAAGAACGAAAAATGCATGATCTCTCTCTCTCTCTCCCTCTTTCTCTCACTCTCGCACACATACGCACACACACACACGCCCACACACACACACACTGCGGTTGGCATTTTATGCAGTTTGTACCACGCAACCGGGTCGCAGTTTCCCCTGCTACCGTAGACTTAAGCAACAGCAACTATTGTGTTGATGAGAGAGTTATTTCAGTCCATTACAGTGTATGCAGAAACAGGAGTAAGGTAACCACTATTCGTATTAGTTATTAGGTCCACTATTCGACCCCGAAGCAAATACAAAGCGAATTTTCGGTACAGCCCTACTAGAAACACAACATTTCTTGACATAGAAACACAAAATTCCCTGACCTAGAAACACAACATTCCCTGACCTAGAAACACAACATTCCCTGTCCTAGAAACACAACATTTCCTGACCTAGAAACACAACATTCCCTGACCTAGAAACACAACATTCCCTGACCTAGAAACACAACATTCCCCGACCTAGAGATACAAAATTCCCTGAGCTAGAAGCACAGCATTCCCGGAGCTAGAGACACAACATTCCCTGAGCTAGAAGCACAACATTCCCTGAGCTAGAGACACAACATTTCCTGAGCTAGAGACACAACATTCCCTAAGCTAGAAACACAACATTTCCTGAGGTAGAGACACAACATTCCCTGAGCTAGAGACACAACATTCCCTGAGCTAGAGACACAACATTCCCTGAGCTAGAGACACAGCATTCCCTGAGCTAGAGACACAACATTCCCTAAGCTAGAGACACAACATTCCCTGAGCTAGAGACACAACATTCCCGGACCTAGAGACACAACATTCCCTGAGCTAGAGACACAATTTTTCATGACATAGAAACACAACATTCCCTGAGCTAGAGACACAGCATTCCCTGACCTAGAGACACAACATTCCCTGAGCTAGAGACACAATTTTTCATGACATTGAAACACAACATTCCCTGAGCTAGAGACACAACATTCCCTGAGCTAGAGACACAGCATTCCCTGATCTAGAGACACAACATTCCCTAAGCTATATCCACGACATTCCCTGGGCTAGAGGCACAACATTCCCTAAGCTAGAGACACAACATTCCCTGAGCTAGAGACACAAATTTTTATGACCTAGAGACATAACATCCCCTGACCTAGAAACTCAACATTCCCTGAGATAGAGACATAACATCCCCTGACCTAGAAACTCAACATTCCCTTAGATAGAGACACATCATTCCCTGACATAGAGACGGAATATTTCCAGAATCAAACACAACATTTCCCGATCTAGAGATTTGATATTTCATGACCCAGAAACATAACATTCCCTGACCTATAAACAAAACATTTCCTGACCATGAAACAAAACATTCCCTGACTTAAAAACAATAGATTCCCGGACCTACAAACACACCATTCCCGGACTTGGAAACACAACATTCCCTGACCTAGAAACAAACGATTCCCTAACCTAAAAACACAACATTCCCTGACCTAGAGACAAAAGATTCCCAAACTTAGAAACACAACATTCCCTGACGTAGAGACAAAAGATTCCCAAACTTAGAAACACAACATTCCCTGACCCAGAGACAGAAGATTCCCAAACTTAGAAACACAACATTCCCTGACCCATAGACAACATTCTCGACCCAGAGATACAACATTTTCTGATCCAGAGACACAAAATTCCCTCACCTTGAAACACAACATTCCCTGACCTAGAAACACAACATTCCCTGACCCAGAAACACAACATTCCCTGACCTAGAAACACAACATTCCCTAACCTAGAAACACAACCTTCCCTGACCCAGAGACAGAGAATGCCCTGACCTACTGACACTGACAACATCCAGTCCAAGGCACTGACCTGCATACAGACATAGATCCACTCCTCTGTCAGGCTGTTGCTGACAATCACTTTGTTGGTCTGGAACTGGGGACATCAATACCACCAGGCATAAACCGATGATTTAACTACTGGACACACAACAAGACATCAACCAACGGCTCCACTACTGGACACATAACAGTACATCAACAGATGGCTCAACTAGTGTACACACAACAACAGATCGACCAATTATTTAATTACTGGACACGCAGTAATACACAGTCGATGGCTCAACTAAGGACACTCCAGGCAGCAACCGATGGCTCAATTACTGGACACACCAAAACAACAACCGATGGCTCATCTTCTAAACACACCAGAACAGCAACCGATAGCTCATCTACTTAACACACAAAAACAGCAACCGATGGCTCAACTATAGGACACACCAAAACATCAACCGATGGCTCACCTACTAGACACACCAAAACATCAACCGATGGTTCAAATACTGGACACACCAAAAACAGCAACTGATGGCTCATCTACTGGACACACCAGAACAGCAATTGATTGCTCAATTACTGGACACACCTGAACAGCAACCGATGGCTCAACTACAGGACACACCAAAACATCAACCGATGGCTCATCTACTGAACACATCAAAACAGCAACCAATGGCTCATCTACTAGACACACCAAAACATCAACCAATGGCTCAATTACTGGACACACTAAAACATCAACCGATGGCTTAATTACTGGACACACCAAAACAGCAATCGATGGCTCAACTACAAAAAAAAAAAACCAAAACATCAACCGATGGCTTAACTAAAGGATACACCAAAACAGCAACCGATGGCTCAATTACTGGACACACCAAAACATAACCGATGGCTCAATTACAGGACACACTAAAACATAACTGATGGCTTAATTACTGGACACACCAGAACATCAATCGATGACTCATCTACTGGACACAACAAATCAGCAACCGATGACTCATCTACTGGACACACCAGAACATCAACCGATGATTCATCTACTGGACACACCAGAACATCAACCGATGACTCATCTAATGGACACAACAAAACAGCAACGGATGACTCATCTACTGGATACACCAAAACATCAAACGATGGCTCATCTACTGGACACAACAAAACAGCAACCAATGGCTCATCTACTGGACACATCAAAACAGCAACCAATTGCTCATCTACTAGACACACCAAAACATCAAACGATGGCTCATCTACTGGACACAACAAAACAGCAACGGATGACTCATCTACTGGACACATCAAAACAGCAACGGATGGCTCAACTACAGGACACACCAGGACATCAACGATGGCTCATCTACTGGACACACCAAAACAGCAACTGATGGCTCATCTACTGGACACAACAAAACAGCAACGGATGACTCATCTACTGGACACAACAAAACAGCAACGGATGACTCATCTACTGGACACATCAAAACATCAACGGATGGCTCATCTACTGGACACATCAAAACAGCAACGGATGGCTCAACTACAGGACACACCAGGACATCAACGATGGCTCATCTACTGGACACAGAATAAGGCATTTCCGGATGGCCTGACTACAGGGCACAACAAGACATCAAATCAGCTGACACTGCATTACATTACCAGATGGCTTAACATCTGGACGCAACACGTCATCAGTCGATTGCTCAACTACTGGACACACAATATTAAATCAACCGATGGCTCAACTACTGGACACATCAAAACATAACCTATGGCTCAATTACTGGACACACCAAAACATAACCGATGGATTAATTACTGGACGCACAAGAACATCAACCGATGACTCATCTACTGGACACACCAGAAAATCAACCGATGACTCATCTACTGGACACAAACATTACTTTAACCAATGACCAAACTTCTGGACACAGTATTACAATAACCGATGATTCAACTTCCGGACACAGCATTACATTAACCGATGACTTAACTACTGGACATAGCATTACATTAACCGATGACTTAACTACTGGACACACAGCATTACATTAACCGATGATTAAACTTCTGGACACAGCATTACATTAACCGATGACTCAACTACTGGACACACAGCATTACATTAACCGATGACTCAACTACTGGACACACAGCATTACATTAACCGATGACTCAACAAGTGGACACAGCATTACATTAACCGATGACTCAACTACTGGACACACAGCATTACATTAACCGATGACTCAACAAGTGGACACAGCATTACATTACCGTTGACACAACTTCTGGACACAGCATTACATTAACCGATGACTAAACTTCTGGACACAGCATTACATTAACCGATGACTAAACTTCTGGACACAGCATTACATTACCCGATGACTCAACAAGTGGACACAGCATTACATTAACCGATGACTCAACTAGTGGACACAGCATTACATTAACCGATGACTCAACTTATGGACACTGCATTACATTAACCAATGACTCAACTTCTGGACACAGCATTACATTAACCGATGACTCAACTTCTATACACACAACAGTCATCAACTAATGACTCAACTAGTGGACACACAACAGTCTCATCAACCGACGACTCAACTACTTAAAACACAAATCATCAACCTACAGTGCAAGTACTTCACACACAGGGACAGTAACTAGATTGTGGAAACCAGAGAAACTACACAGCCTCGAGCCCATTCCTTGTCGACACGAAATAAACAAATATTGAAAAGGTGGCGGGGGGGGGGTGGGAAAGGGGTCAGGGATGGCTCGTATAAGGGTCTCGGAGGACCAAGTCTTCTTTAAGTACGTTGAAATAATTATTATGACACCTATGGCAAAATAAATGATCAATATATGATCTTGGAAATATGATGAAATGTATACAGAAATCCTTGACAGAAGAACTCTAGAAATATGATGAAATGTATACAGAAATCCTTGACAGAAGACCTCTAGAAATATGAAGAAATGTATACAGAAATCCTTGACAAAAGAACTCTAGAAATATGATGAAATGTATACATAAATCCGAGACAGAAGACAACTAGAAATATGATGAAATGTATACAGAAATCCGAGACAGAAGATCTCTAGAAATATGATAAAATGTATACAGAAATCCTTGACAGAAGACCTCTAGAAATATTATAAAATGTATACAGAAATCCCTGACAGAAAACCTCTAGAAATATGATGAAATGTATACAGAAATCCTTGACAGAAGTCGCGCACATACATATAAACACACACACACAAACATATCGCACATTATGATTGGCCATTCTTACTTCCTGTATCTGTGCGTGCATCGATATCGCTCGTATGGATTCTGAGCTCCAATACTTTGCCGAGAAAAGATCCAGCGAGCTGTAGAATAGAAACAGTGAAGTGAGAAGAGATTTAGCGAGCTGTAGAATAGTAACAGTGAAGTAAGAAGAGATTTGCCAGCTGTAGAATAGTAACAGTGAAGTGAGAAGAGATTTAGCGAGTTGTAGAATAGAAACAGTGAAGTGAGAAGAGATTTGCCAGCTGTAGAATAGAAACAGTGAAGTGAGAAGAGATTTGCCAGCTGTAGAATAGAAACAGTGAAGTAAGAAGAGATTTGCCAGCTGTAGAATAGAAACAGTGAAGTGAGAAGAGATTTGCCAGCTGTAGAATAGAAACAGTGAAATAAGAAGAGATTTGCCAGTAAGAAGAGATTTGCCAGCTGTAGAATAGAAACAGTGAAGTGAGAAGAGATTTGCCAGCTGTAGAATAGAAACAGTGAAATAAGAAGAGATTTGCCAGCTGTAGAATAGAAACAGTGAAGTGAGAAGAGAGATTTGCCAGCTGTAAAGAGATTTAGGGAGCTGTTAGAATAGAAACAGTGAAATAAGAAGAGATTTAGCCAGCTGTAGAATAGTAAAACAGTTTAGAAGTAGAGAAGAGATTTAGGGAGCTGTAGAATAGAAACAGTGAAGTAAGAAGAGATTTAGGGAGCTGTAGAATAGAAACAGTGAAGTAAGAAGAGATTTAGCGAGCTGTAGAATAGAAACAGTGAAGTGAGAAGAGATTTAGCGAGCTGTAGAATAGAAACAGTGAAGTAAGAAGAGATTTGCCAGTAAGAAGAGATTTGCCAGCTGTAGAATAGAAACAGTGAAGTGAGAAGAGATTTGCCAGCTGTAGAATAGAAACAGTGAAGTGAGAAGAGATTTGCCAGCTGTAGAATAGAAACAGTGAAGTAAGAAGAGATTAAGGGAGCTGTAGAATAGAAACAGTGAAGTAAGAAGAGATTTGCCAGCTGTAGAATAGAAACAGTGAAGTAAGAAGAGATTTAGGGATCTGTAGAATAGAAACAGTGAAGTGAGAAGAGATTTAGGGAGCTGTAGAATAGAAACAGTGAAGTAAGAAGAGATTTGCGAGCTGTAGAATAGAAACAGTGAAGTAAGAAGAGATTTAGGGAGCTGTAGAATAGAAACAGTGAAGTGAGAAGAGATTTAGGGAGCTGTAGAATAGAAACAGTGAAGTGAGAAGAGATTTGCGAGCTGTAGAATAGAAACAGTGAAGTGAGAAGAGATTTAGGGAGCTGTAGAATAGAAACAGTGAAGTAAGAAGAGATTTGCGAGCTGTAGAATAGAAACAGTGAAGTAAGAAGAGATTTTCCAGCTGTAGAATAGAAACAGTGAAGTGAGAAGAGATTTGCCAGCTGTAGAATAGAAACAGTAAAGTAAGAAGAGATTTGCCAGCTGTAGAATAGAAACAGTGAAGTAAGAAGAGATTTGCCAGCTGTAGAATAGAAACAGTGAAGTGAGAAGAGATTTGCCAGCTGTAGAATAGAAACAGTGAAGTAAGAAGAGATTTAGAGAGCTGTAGAATAGAAACAGTGAAGTAAGAAGAGATTTGCCAGCTGTAGAATAGAAACAGTGAAGTAAGAAGAGATTTAGGGATCTGTAGAATAGAAACAGTGAAGTGAGAAGAGATTTAGGGAGCTGTAGAATAGAAACAGTGAAGTAAGAAGAGATTTGCGAGCTGTAGAATAGAAACAGTGAAGTAAGAAGAGATTTAGGGAGCTGTAGAATAGAAACAGTGAAGTGAGAAGAGATTTAGGGAGCTGTAGAATAGAAACAGTGAAGTGAGAAGAGATTTGCGAGCTGTAGAATAGAAACAGTGAAGTGAGAAGAGATTTAGGGAGCTGTAGAATAGAAACAGTGAAGTAAGAAGAGATTTGCGAGCTGTAGAATAGAAACAGTGAAGTAAGAAGAGATTTGTCAGCTGTAGAATAGAAACAGTGAAGTGAGAAGAGATTTGCCAGCTGTAGAATAGAAACAGTGAAGTAAGAAGAGATTTGCCAGCTGTAGAATAGTAACAGTGAGGTAAGAAGAGATTTGCCAGCTGTAGAATAGAAACAGTGAAGTGAGAAGAGATTCGGCGGGGATGGGGGGGGGGGGGGGTTTAGTTGAGGAGACAATATCACTGCCAGGATCCGTGACTCTGGCGATCCTGTAGGATGGTGAATCCTGGCCGCCTATGCTTATTAGCATGGCACATGATGATAATACTTGCCAAGAAGGGAAACGAGAGAGAGACAGAGAGAGAGAGAGAGAGAGAGAGAGAGAGAGAGAGAGAGAGAGAGAGAGAGAGAGAGAGAGAGAGAAGTTGGGGGCGAGAGAGAAAGATTATTTTTTCAATTGAAAAGACGCCGGTGGTCAAACAAGTTTAGGAGCAAGTCGTCTAGATACTTGCTGGCGTGGCTCAATCAGAGCCAAGAGGGCCGAGTTTATTGACCTGGTTTTAGCCCATACTGCTTAGTCTCTCTCCGCAGAACGGCAAGCCGCCAGGGGAGAGTGTGAACCAAACCACAATCTCCGTAGCTCTAGCGACCATAGCCATGGATTCCCCTTAAAGTAATGCGTCAAAATGCAGCCCAACAGTACGGGCTTGCAAAAAATGATATTAACGCTGCAACAAGTAAATCAAATCGAGTAGCGCCTGCACGGGGTGAGATAACATATGATAATACAGCATGGGATAAGATATCCTGGGAAAAGATACCATGGGTCAGGATGTCATGGGATAAGATATCATGTTATAACATGTCAAGGGATAAGATAACACGTTATAAGATATCATAGGATAAGATATCATAGGATAAGATATCATGGAATAAGATGTCATGGGATAAGGTAACAAGGAATAAAACAACATGGCATAAGACATGAGATAAAATAACAAGGGATAAAATAAAATGAGATAATATATGGGATAAGATAGCATGGATTGATATCCAGGCAATCGCCAGCAGAAGAACTCTTCACCTGCCAACCATCCATTGTAACCTCTCTTCAGTCTTCAGTAATCTCCTCTTCTCCCAATGGTTGACTGATCAAGTGCGCAGTCACACGAGTCATGAAGACTTTCGCTGAGTTTATGGATGTCCTCTTGAACTGCATTTGGTATGGGCTTTCAGGTTGGTACTACACGAAGGCGGTAGAACCTGAGAGGCTCGGGCCAGCTGAAGACCAACTACAACAATACAAACGACAAGTCCAGAAATTCTTACCCTAGAAAACAATACTTCTCGGAAAGTTCCCGCTCAAAAATCCTGGGGCAGACGCTGGCAAAAACGGCCTTATCCACAGTCAGCAGTTCCACTCTCTCTCGGACAGACACTGTAGCTGTTCGACGGATGTCCTGCAGTAGTGCCAGCTCCTGACAGGAGACGGTCCATTGAGGACAGAATTATAACAGGACCAAACGTTCAGCAAATGTAGTGGACAGAACAATAACAAGACCTCACAACCAGTTATTGTAGTGGACAGAACAATAACAAGACCACACAACCGGTAATTGTAGTGGACAGAACAATAACAACACCACACAATCAATAGATATTTGTGGACAGAATAATAACAAGATTTCACGGCCAGTGTGGTGGACAGAACAATAACAAGACCGCACAACCAGTAATTGCAGTGGACAGAACAATAACAAGACCACACAACCAATAGATGTTTGTGGACAGAACAATAACAAGACCACACAACCAATAGATGTTTGTGGACAGAACAATAACAAGACCACACAACCAATAGATGTTTGTGGACAGAACAATAACAAGACCACACAACCAGTAATTGTAATGGACAGAACAATAACAAGACCTCACAACCAGTATTTGTAATGGACAGAACAATAACAAGACCTCACAACCAGTATTTGTAATGGACAGAACAATAACAAGACCTCACAACCAGTAGATGTTGGTGGACAGAACAATAACAAGACCTCACAACCAGTAGATATAGGGAACAGACCAATAACAAAACCTCACAATCAGTAGATATAGGGAACAGAACAATAACACAACCTCACAACCAGTAGATGTTGGTGGACAGAACAATAACAAGACCTCACAACCAGTAGATATAGGGAACAGAACAATGACAAAACCTCACAATCAGTAGATATAGGGAACAGAACAATAACAAGACCTCACAACCAGTAGATGTTGGTGGACAGAACAATAACAAGACCTCACAATCAGTAGATATAGGAGACAGAACAATAACAAGACCACACAGCCAGTAGATGTTAGTTGTCAGAACAATAACAACATCCAACAATCAGTAGATTTAGGGAACAGAACAATAACAAGACCTCACAATCAGTAGATATAGGGAACAGAACAATAACAAGACCTTACAATCAGTAGATATAGGGAACAGAACAATAACAAGACCTCACAATCAGTAGATATAGGGAACAGAACAATAACAAGACCTTACAACCATTAGATATAGGGAACAGAACAATAACAAGACCTTACAATCATTAGATATGGGGAACAGAACAATAACAAGACCTTACAATCAGTAGATATAGGGAACAGAACAATAACAAGACCTTACAATCAGTAGATATAGGGAACAGAACAATAACAAGACCTTACAATCAGTAGATATAGGGAACAGAACAATAACAAGACCACACAATAAGAGGATGCAGAGGACGGAAAAAAAGAAGACCAAACAATGAGTTGTTCTAGAGGGACAGATCCCTGCGACTGACCCCGAATGACTGGCCTCTGGTCAGCACGGCTATTGTCCTCATGAACTTGCGCCCATCCCTGGTAGTGTCCTCCTGGTTGACGAACACTGATCCGCAGTAGATGAGGTAGAAGTTTCTGCCCACGTGACCACTTTTCAGTATTACCCGGCGTTCAGCGACTCTGGAATCAGTATAACCAAATATTATGTGTGTGTGTGTGTTTTTTTTTTAACATGTACACAGCTACCGTATCATCTATGATAAACTCAATGCTTTGTGTTTACCCGAATACCGCGAACGTACCATCCATGACAAACTCAGTATTGTGTGTTTACATGAACATCGCTATCGTACCATTTATGATAAACTCAGTACTGTGTGTTTACATGAACATCGCTATCACTTCGCCTATGATAATCCCAGTCATTTATGGTTACACAAACACAGCTGTTGTATCATCTGTGATAAACTCACTACTGTCGCTATGGAATCATCTATGATAAACTCTGCTGTGTGTTTTACATGAACGCCACCATTATATGATCTATGATAAACTCGGCTGTGTGTTTTACATGAACGTCACCATTATATGATCTATGATAAACTCGGCTGTATGTTTTACATGAACGCCACCATTATATGATCTATGATAAACTCGGCTGTGTGTTTTACATGAACGCCACCATTATATGATCTATGATAAACTCTGCTGTATGTTTTACATGAACGCCACCATTATATGATCTATGATAAACTCGGCTGTGTGTTTTACATGAACGCCACCATTATATGATCTATGATAAACTCTACTGTGTGTTTTACATGAACGCCACTATTATATGATCTATGATAAACTCGGCTGTGTGTTTTACATGAACGCCACCATTATATGATCTATGATAAACTCTGCTGTATGTTTTACATGAACGCCACCATTATATGATCTATGATAAACTCGGCTGTGTGTTTTTACATGAACGCCACCATTATATGATCTATGATAAACTCTGCTGTATGTTTTACATGAACGCCACCATTATATGATCTATGATAAACTCGGCTGTGTGTTTTACATGAACGCCACCATTATATGATCTATGATAAACTCTGCTGTATGTTTTACATGAACGCCACCATTATATGATCTATGATAAACTCGGCTGTGTGTTTTACATGAACGCCACCATTATATGATCTATGATAAACTCTACTGTGTGTTTTACATGAACGCCACCATTATATGATCTATGATAATGTGGCTAGGTGCAAACAGGTTGTTGGTTATTTTGTTTGGTTATATAAGGCGAAACATCCAGTTTAAAGCAAATGAGCTAGATGAAATATATAGTTTGTAGCTAATGAGCTAGGTGAAATATCTAGTTTATAGCAGAAGATTTGAATGAAACATCTAATTTAAAGCTGAAGAACTAGGTGACACATGTAGTTCATAACTGATGAACTAGGTTTAACATCTAGTTCATACCTGATGAAGTGGATGAAACGTTTAGTTTAGAGTTGATGGACTTTATGAAATATCTAATTCAGAGCTGATGAGCTAGGTGAAACATTTAGTTTAATGCTGATGAAGTAGGTGAACGTTTAGTTGATAGGTGATGGTCTAGGTGAAACATCTAGTTTTTAGCTTAAGAACAACATGAAACGTCTAGTTTAGAGTTGATAAACTAGGTAAGATATTTGGCGTAGTACTGATGAACTAGGTGAAACATCTAGTAGAGAGCTGATAAACTAGATAAGATATCTAGCTGAGAGCTGATGAACTAGGTGAAAGATCTGAATTAAAGCAGATGAACTAGGTGAAAGATCTGAATTAAAGCAGATGAACTAGGTGAAATATCTGAATTAAAGCAGATGAACTAGGTGAAACTATCAATTTAAGCCAATTAAAAAGGTGAAACATCTAGTTTATAACTGATGAATTAGTTAAAACATCTAGTATATTACTGATGGAATAAGTTAGTTTTTTAGTTCAGAGCTGATGAACTAGGTGAAACATCTACTTAAGAGATGATGAACTAATGAAATGTCTGGCTTATGACTGGTGAACTAGGTAAACAATTTAGTATGTAACTGATGAGCAAGGTTAAACATCTAATTGTAGCCGATGAGCTTGGTGAAACATCTACTTTAAAGCAGACGTGCTAGATGACATATCTTGTTTAAAACTTATTAACTAGGTGAAACTTCTAGTTTATAAATGATGAACTAGGTGAAACATCTAGTTTATTGCTGTGGACTAGGTGAAACCTCTAATATATATCTGTTAAACAAGGTGAGACATCCAGATTAGAGCTTACAAATCATATAAAACACATAGTTTAAAGCTGAGGAACTAGGTTAAGCATCTGCTTCATAGCTGATGGACTAGATCAAACATCAAGTTCATACCTGATGAACTAAATGAAGCATACATTGCATAGCTGATGAAATAGGTGAAACATCTAGTTTATACCCGATGAAGTAGATGAAAAGTCTAGTTTAGAGTTGATAGACTAAGTAAACGTCTGATTGATAGGTGATTGTCTTGGTGAAACATATAGTTTATAGTTGATGAACTAGGAGAAACATCTAGTATTTAGCTTTCTAGTTTTTAATGAGGAACTAAGTGAAACGTCTAGTTTATAACTGAGGAACTAGGCGAAAGGCCTAGTTTTTAACCAAGGAACTAGAGCTTACGAAATATCTAGTTTAGACTTGATAAGCTAGGTGAGACAACTAGTGTAGTACTGATGAACTAGGTGAAACACCAAGTATAGAGCTGCTAGTAAAGAGTTGATAAATCAGATATACTTTAGTACTAATGAAATAGGTGCAACACCAAGTATAGAGCTGCTAGTAAAGAGTTGATAAATCAGATAATACATCTACTTTAGTACTGATGAACTAGGTGAAACACCAAGTATAGAGCTGCTAGTACAGAGTTGATAAATCATATATACTTTAGTACTAATGAAATAGGTGAAACACCAAGTATAGAGCTGCTAGTATAGAGTTGATAAATCAGATAATACATCTACTTTAGTACTGGTGAACTAAGTGAAAGATCTAGTAGAGAGCTGCTGAACTAGATAAGCCATCTTGCTCAGAGCGGATGAACTAGGTGAAACGTCTGAATTAGAGCAGCTGAACTAGGTGGGACTTCTAGTTTAAACCGATTAACTAGGTGAAATATCTAGTTTATAGCACATTAACTAGGTGAAATATCTAGTTTATAGCACATTAACTAGGTGAAATATCTAGTTTATAGCACATTAACTAGGTGAAATATCTAGTTTATAGCACATTAACTAGGTGAAATATCTAGTTTATAACTGACGATTTAAATGAGACTCTAGTTTATTGCTGATGCACTCGATGAAATATTTAGTTTAGAGCTGATGAACTGGGTAAAACATCTACTTTAAAGCTAATGGACTAGGTGAAAAATCTAGTTTATAGCAGATTAACTAGGTTGAACATCTAGTTTATAACTGGCGAACTAGATGAAACGTCTAGTTTTGAGCCGAAGAACTAGGTGAAACATCTAATTTAAAACTGAGGAACTAGGCGAAACGTCTAGTTTATAACCAATGAACCTAGTGAAAGATCTAGTTTAGAGCTGATGAACTAAGATTGACATTTAGTTATTAACAGGAACTATGTTAATCATTTAATTTATAACTGTTGAATAAGGTGAAAGTCTAGTTTATAACTGAGGAATTAGACGAAACGTCTAGTTTATAACTGAGGAACTAAGTGAAACGCCTAGTTTATAACGAGGAACTAAGTGAAAAGCCTAGTTTATAACTGAGGAACTAGGCGAAAGGCCTAGTTTATAACTGAGGAACTAAGTGAAACGCCTAGTTTATAACTGAGGAACTAGGCGAAAGGCCTAGTTTATAACTGAGGAACTAGGCGAAAGGCCTAGTTTATAACTGAGGAAATAGGTGAAACGCCTAGTTTATAATGAGGAACTAAGTGGAACGCCTAGTTTATAACTGAGGAGCTAAGTGAAACGCCTAGTTTATAACTGAGGAACTAGGCGAAAGGCCTAGTTTATAACTGAGGAAATAGGTGAAACGCCTAGTTTAAAATGAGGAACTAAGTGAAACGCCTAGTTTATAACTGAGGAACTAGGTGAAAGGCCTAGTTTATAACCAAGGGACTAGTGAAAAACCTAGTTTAGAACTGATGAAGTATGTGAAATATCCATTTTATATCTGATAACCTAGGGAAAATATATAGTAAGTGGCGTCCGTGGTCTAGGCGTTGCGAGTCCGACTCATAATTCCAACGTACTGCGATCGAAACCCACTGCTTTTTATCCTGGTATGGGGCGTCGCAGGTCGACCCAGCCTAAAATGCGTACCAGGATGGCTGTTTTGGGGAAGTAAAGACGGCTGGCGTAATGCTGACCACATTACCCACCTAGTGCCGATTGGTCTGTAAAAATATGGGATGCTCTTTTCAAATGCCCGATGCGCCTCAGGCGTGAAAAGGGATCTTTACTTTTAGGTGAAATATCTTGTTTAAATTTGAATGTAGAGATGATGAACTAGGTGACACTTCTATTTTATAAATGGAGAACTAGTTGATACATTTAGTTTATAACTGATTAACTGTTTGATACATCTAGTTTAAAACTGATGAACTAGTTGATACATCTAGTTTATAACATGAACTAGTTAATACATCTAGTTTAAAACTGATGGACTAGTTGATACATCTAGTTTAAAACTGATGAACTAGTTGATACATCTAGTTTATAACATGAACTAGTTAATACATCTAGTTTAAAACTGATGGACTAGTTGATACATCTAGTTTAAAACTGAGGAACTGGTTGATACGTCTAGTTTATAACTGATGAACTAGTTGGAACATCAAGTTTATAACTGGAGAACTAGTCACTTCATGTAACACAATCATCTATAATATTGAAGCAGCGGAACAGACCGTCTCACCTTTGCAAGGTAAAGGCCTTACACAAGGCCATCTGCACCTGGCTGGTGAAGAGGTCAAAGTTCTTCATGCCCCTCAACATGGCGTGCAGCAGACGACAGTCCTGGTGAGTTCTCTGCTCGGGGCTCTTGTCCAGGATGGCCACCGCCCAGTCAGGCACGTGACCACTCACCTAGACACACACACACACACACACATCAAGAGACGGGTCTGATGTACCAGTGTAAGGAGAACATTGACAATCTGAGGTACGCATACCACAGTCTGAATAACTTAGAACCAGCCACACGATTTGTTGGGTGTCATAAATATGACACAAATATGTACACACACCTCTACACACACCTCTACACACACCTCTACACACACCTCTACACACAAGTACACCTCCACACACACAAACACCTCTACACACACCTCTACACACAAGGCATAAATGCATAGCACATTTACAGGAGGCGCTCACAAACATGACACACACACACACACATCCCCACACACGCACACAAACACACTCACAAATGAATTATTGACAATTAAAAAAAAAATAGCTCAGCAGATTTTTCATATAAACTGGGACAAGGTGGGAGAGTCTGAGGCAAGTTATGACAGACTGGGACAAAATGGGACAAATAGGGCAAGTTAGGACAAACTGGGATGAGATAGGACAGACTGGGACAAGATGGGACAAATAGGGCAAGTTGGGACAGATTGGGACACGATGGGACAAATAGGGCAAGTTGGGACAGACTGGGATGAGATAGTACAGACTGGGATGAGACAGGACAGACTGGGATGAGATAGGACAGACTGGGATGAGATAGGACAGACTGGGATGAGACAGGACAGACTGGGATGAGATAGGACAGACTGGGATGAGATAGGACAGACTGGGATGAGATAGGACAGACTGGGATGAGATAGGACAGACTGGGATGAGATAGGACAGACTGGGATTAGATAGGACAAACTGGGATGAGACAGGACAGACTGTGATGAGATAGGACAGACTGGGATGAGATAGGACAGACTGGGATGAGATAGGACAGACTGGGATGAGATAGGACAGACTGGGATGAGACAGGACAGACTGGGATGAGATAGGACAGACTGGGATGAGATAGGACAGACTGGGATGAGATAGGACAGACTGGGACAAAATGGGACAATTAGGGCTAGTTGGGACAGACTGGGACAAGATGGGAAAGACTGGGACAGGAGTCGGATTTGCGTTCAAAGTTAGCACATACAACCGTCATGATCGGGGAAGGGGTGACGACTGGGTGAGTGTGGGACTGCCAGCTTAGCACTAAACATGTCGTTGGCAAGGCGAAGCCACGTGCGCTATCTGAAGCAAGACAAGTGGGCTCATTTAGCTTGCTGGGAACAGTGGTCGACCGGAAGTCCTAGCGGACGGTCTGGACAACTCTAGTGTGGCCATGTTAAAGTGACAGTTTAGCTAGCAAAAGTGACGATATTTGTGTCAGTGCAATAATTGTGATGATTATAATAGAATATTTATATCTGGACACAGCTGAGAATACTATATCTGGACACAGCAGAGAATACTATATATGAACACAACTTAGAACACTATGTCTGGACACAGCTGAGAATACTATATCTGGACACAGTAGAGAATACTATATCTGGACACAACTTAGAACACTATGTCTGGACACAACTCAGAATACTATATCTGGACACAGCTAAGAATACTATATCTGGACACAACTTAGAACACTATGTCTGGACACAACTCAGAATACTATATCTGGACACAGTAGAGAATACTATATCTGGACACAGCTAAGAATACTATATCTGGACACAACTTAGAACACTATGTCTGGACACAACTCAGAATACTATATCTGGACACAGTAGAGAATACTATATCTGGACACAGTAGAGAATACTATATCTGGACACAGTAGAGAATACTATATCTGGACACAGCTGAGAATACTATATCTGGACACAGCTGAGAATACTATATCTGGACACAACTTAGAATACTATATCTGGACACAGCAGAGAATACTATGTCTGGACACAGCTGAGAATACAATGTCTGGACACAACTTAGAATACTATGTCTGGACACAACTGAGAATACTATGTCTGGACACAGCTCAGAATACTATATCTGGACACAACTTAGAATACAATGTCTGGACACAGCTGAGAATACTATGTCTGGACACAGCTGAGAATACTATGTCTGGACACAGCTAAGAATACTATGTCTGGACACAGCTCAGAATACTATATCTGGACACAGCTGAGAATACTATATCTGGACACAGCTCAGAATACTATATCTGGACACAGCTCAGAATGCTATATCTGGACACAGCTCAGAATACTATGTCTGGACACAGCTGAGAATACTATATCTGGACACAGTAGAGAATACTATATCTGGACACAACTCAGAATACTATATCTGGACACAGTAGAGAATACTATATCTGAACACAGTAGAGAATACTATATCTGGACACAACTCAGAATACTATATCTGGACACAGTAGAGAATACTATATCTGGACACAGCTCAGAATACTATATCTGGACACAGCTCAGAATACTATATCTGGACACAGCTCAGAATACTATGTCTGGACACAACTCAGAATACTATATCTGGACACAGTAGAGACTACTATATCTGGACACAACTCAGAATACCATATCTGGACACAGCTGAGAATACTATATCTGGACACAGTAGAGAATACTATATCTGGACACAACTCAGAATACTATATCTGGACACAGCTGAGAATACTATATCTGGACACAGCTGAGAATACTATATCTGGACACAACTGAGAATACTATATCTGGACACAGCTGAGAATACTATATCTGGACACAACTTAGAATACTATATCTGGACACAGCTCAGAATACTATATCTGGACACAACTTAGAATATTATATCTGGACATAACTTAGAATACTATATCTGGACACAACTTAGAATACTATATCTGGACACAGCTGAGAATACTATATCTGGACACAACTTAGAATACTATATCTGGACACAACTTAGAATACTATATCTGGACACAGCTCAGAATAATATATCTGGACACAACTCAGAATACTATATCTGGACACAGCTGAGAATACTATATCTGGACACAGCTCAGAATACTATATCTGGACACAGCTCAGAATACTATGTCTGGACACAACTTAGAATACTATGTCTGGACACAACTTAAAATACTATATCTGGACACAACTTAGAATACTATATCTGGACACAGCTTAGAATACTATGTCTGGACACAGCTCAGAATACTATATCTGGACACAACTCAGAATACTCTATCTGGACACAGCTGAGAATACTATATCTGGACACAGCTCAGAACACTATATCTGGACACAGCTCAGAATACTATGTCTGGACACAACTTAAAATACTATGTCTGGACACAACTCAGAACACTATATCTGGACAAAGCTCAGAATACTATTTCTGGACACAGCTCAGAATACTATGTCTGGACACAACTTAGAATACTATATCTGGACACAGCTCAGAATACTATGTCTGGACACAGCTCAGAATACTATATCTGGACACAACTCAGAATACTATATCTGCACACAACTCAGAATACTATATCTGGACACAGCTCAGAATACTATGTCTGGACACAGCTCAGAATACTATGTCTGGACACAGCTCAGAATACTATATCTGCACACAAATCAGAATACTATATCTGGACACAGCTCAGAATACTATATCTGGACACAGCTCAGAATACTATATCTGCACACAACTCAGAATACTCTATCTGGACACAGCTCAGAATACTATATCTGGACACAGCTCAGAATACTATATCTGGACACAGCTCAGAATACTAAATCTGCACACAACTCAGAATACTCTATCTGGACACAGCTCAGAATACTATATCTGGACACAGCTTAGAACACTATATCTGGACACAGCTCAGAATACTATGTCTGGACACAACTCAGAATACTCTATCTGGACACAGCTCAGAACACTATATCTGGACACAGCTGAGAATACTATGTCTGGACACAACTTAGAATACTATGTCTGGACAAAACTTAAAATACTATGTCTGGACACAACTTAGAATACTATGTCTGGACACAACTTAGAACACTATGTCTGGACACAACTTAGAATACTATGTCTGGACACAACTTAGAATACTATATCTGGACACAACTCAGAATACTATGTCTGGACACAGCTAAGAATACTATATCTGGACACCGCTCAGAATACTATATCTGGACACAGCTCAGAATACTATATCTGGACACAGCTCAGAATACTATATCTGGACACAACTCAGAATACTATATCTTAACACAGCTGAGAATACTATATCTGGACACAGCTCAGAACACTATATCTGGACACAGCTCAGAATACTATGTCTGGAGACAACTTAGAATACTATGTCTGGACACAACTTAGAATACTATGTCTGGACACAACTAAGAAGACTATGTCTGGACACAACTTAGAATACTATGTCTGGACACAACTTAGAATACTATGTCTGGACACAACTTAGAATACTATGTCTGGACACAACTTAGAATACTATGTCTGGACACAACTCAGAATACTATATCTAGACACAACTTAGAATACTATGTCTGGACACAACTCAGAATACTTTATCTGGACACAGCTCAGAATATTATATCTGGACACAGCTCGGAATACTATATCTGGACACAGCTCAGAATACTATATCTGGACACAGCTCAGAACACTATATCTGGACACAGCTCAGAATACTATATCTGGACACAACTCAGAATACTATATCTGGACACAGCTCAGAACATTATATCTGGACACAGCTCAGAACACTATATCTGGACACAGCTCTAAACACTATATCTGGACACAGCTCAGAATACTATATCTGGACACAACTTAGAATATTATATCTGGACACAGCTCAGAATACTATATCTGGACACAACTTAGAATACTATATCTGGACACAACTCAGAACACTATATCTGGACACAACTTAGAATATTATATCTGGACACAGCTCAGAATACTATATCTGGACACAACTCAGAACACTATATCTGGACACAACTGAGAATACTATATCTGGACACAACTTAGAATATTAT